TGGAAACGAAAACACAACTGAGCAGTAAAAACATTCAAAGGATGGGCTGCTGAGGATAATCTTTAATGTGATGTCATATCTAATTTTTGTATCAGTCACCATGGTTGCCATTTTTCCAGACTGTTGTTAGCATTTGGCGTATAACTGGTGTTTTGTTTTAGGCATTTTTCTTGGTGGAATGGGAACTGTAGTCATAAGCAGAGATCAATATCACAGCACTGCAAACACAGTTTGATTGGCAGGATCCAGGCTAAGTGCAGTCCAAGTTGCCATAGCAATTTTGCACAATTAAAAATCTATCGAGCCTGGAATCGAGAGCGTGCATGACTCTGACAGGAAGAGTCAGATATCCCTGATATCCCATTAAATTGTCTTACTGCTTCGCAAATGCGCTGTCTCTCCTGATGACATATGCCACAGGATCAGCCTCCGTCAGCTTCTCAACATAACTTGTTCATCACGCAGCCGTGAGATGCGCTGAAGAATGAGATTAAACTGAATTCCTGTTTTGTTTTGTATTTTTCTTAAATGAATATTTTAAGATATTTTTTTTCACACTTTGTTGGTTGTTTGTGTGTATTTCTCTCTTAGCTTCGGGATAAAAGAATAAAGCCCTTTTAGGGAGTCAGTAAAGATACTGATGTTAATGATCAAAGCCTTTTGAACACAAAGAAAGGGAAGAGGAAAAGAAACGAGTGCAGCATTGTTGTTTTAAGGACCTGGATAGTGCTGTGTTTGTATTCTGTCACAAAACATTAGTAGATGAACGCTGGCTGGGGACTGTGTGTGACCTCCTACCCTATTTACACTGTTCTGATACCAGCAATGATCACGGTTTATACATATTCCACTTGATGTCATTTTGGATGAGCGAGTGAGGGATCCAAGCAAAGAAGGAAGTAAGAGGACTGAGTAAATTAAAGCAAACAACCAAGAAATAAGTGATGGAGGAGGTGAAGGGATGAACATGACTGAGTGAATGAGTCACTCATAGTCAGAGCTTTGAATGTGAGATAACTATATTAAGGATATCTGTTCTCAGTGACATCATACAGGTCCAAGACTAGAAGAAACTATCTGAGCTAGAGCATTTGGAGCAGTCTGAAGCTTCAGCTTGTACACACACTGACCTCAGTATTTATGACTTTGGCCATGTTTAATATTGTAACAACAAAACTCATAATTCACAATATTTGAAATTTAAAACCCAATGTCACGTTCTTAACTTACATATGATCATAATAACTACTCTTTTAGTGTAGGATAGACATAATGTCCTAGGATGAGGTCCTGGGCTGAATTGTTATCTCAGTCCGCCCCTGAGGCTGGGGATTTACTGTCACACTCAATTTAAACCGAAGATTAAAAAGAAAAATCATTAAAAAAAGGCCGACTGGGTCAATAAATAAGTCACTGAGTAAATGAGCTGCAGTGTGAGCAAAAGTGCAAGTGAACAAAGGAATTAATATGAATTTGCGCATTTTTAACAAATGAACTAACTTGCGATTAAAGAGGAGCAACGGTGAGTAAGTGAAGAAGTCCGGCAA